CAATCTTGGGTTCTGAGCTGTTAAGAAACAATCCACTGCTTTTTGCTATAGAGCACAGGCAGCATGAAGCAACCGTTACATTTTAAGAGACAGCTACTCCCCTCCCCATAACAAGACCGGCCAAGTTGCATATGTAACCGTGCACGCGCACGCATACACTTTCACGCCTGACTTACCTGCATGTAGCCACTCTGTATGCAAATCAAGCAGTTGCAATAGCCAGCTAATTACCCAGGTAACCACAAGGAAGCACGAATACACACTTTCTGATTCGGTAGCAGTATTTACACACCTAAACTGGACACTGGAAAATGCATGAGCATAATGGGGTTTTTGGTTTTTTGGTTTTGTTTTTTTTTTGTTTTGTTTTGTTTTTTACAGCTAATTCAGTGATGCAGACCAAAATTCTTGGAGGCTGGAAAGATGGTCAATGGGTGGGACACCATGCATCACAACCTGTCTGCGTCTAGTGACAGCCAAGAAGCCCCAACAAAACTCATTACCTTCCTGTGCAGCAAAAAAAGAGAAAAGAAAAGAAAAAAACAGTAACCGCAGAGCACTGCACCCTCAAATAGACATCTTTGTCCATTTTGCTCAGGATTTCAAACACTTGGGACTGGAGTCTGAGGATTAAGGGGGGATTTTGAAGGTGGGTCTGTCAAGCACAAGTGGTACACCTGTAGGCTGCAAAATCTGTATTCTAGGAAAGGGAAGGCTGAGAACGGGGGGAAAAAGTAGTACCTTCACAAGGGATGTGAGTGTTTATGGCCCCTGTATGGGCAGCGACCACTTATAGAATAAAAATTGCCCTTGCCTAGACAGAGTTTAGAGAATAGGCCGTCTTAAGCAGGGATCAGTCCTACATCGATATCCATGCTGCAGCTTGAATGCACTGCCTCCAGGGTTCCTCAGTCAGGGCTTTGCAGCCCAGACCTCAGATCCTCCCGCATCCCCTCTGTAGCAGGAAACAAGAGCATGTCACATGCACTGGAACCTGGCCCATACTGACAATGGCCCCTGCTTGTATCTGCCCCATCGTGGGCAATCCCAGCACGCAGAATAAGATCCATTAGATCCCTTATTCAGCATGGCTGGAAAGACTCAAGTACCCCTCCAGTGGGGTCAGGATCCCCTTGCTGATGAGCTGAAGCCACCGCACATTACTGTTGGCAAGGCCTGTTCTCAGGATGGAGCCGGCTCCACGGGGCTGTCAATCCTGGAGGTTTTTTTGGCACTATATACATGTCAGAGGAAGAAAGGCGCAGGGGGGAATAAAAAGTGAACAACTTGAAAAGTCTGGGCCAAATAACTGTCATGCTACCCTTTAAGCTATTATACACACTGATAAGTTCTCAAAACACAGACTGCACAAGATAGCAGCGGGGCTAATTTTTCTTTAGCTGCAGGGGAAAAAATTCAATTACAAGGTAACCTATTTTTCAACTCCTCCATTGGTATTTACTTAATTTACTAATCCAGAAACCAGGCCCTGCAAAAAGGGGAGTAAGTAGTGAGGAGGAAGGGTGGTGGGGAGGAACTATTCATTGAACGTGCAGTCAGAGCTTGGATATGTTCATATATAATAAAAACCAGAGGAAAGCAAGGTTGGCTCGAACACACACATCAGCGAATGACATTTCATCCGTGACAAACCAAAAACCCGGTTTACAGCCCTAGAATAAAAACACAGGGCAGCGTGGATCGAAACAGCGGGCCATTCTCCATCACCAAATTGAATAAATATCCAGGCTCCTTTCTTGCGCGGAGGGAAAGGAGGCACGCTTGAGGCAAGACAGAACTTTCTGTATTGAAGATAGTTCCACCTTCTTATTTGTGGTTGATGACTGATCTCACACAGCCCACGGAGGCAATGTTTTCCCCTCCCTCGCCCCCAGCACCACAGCTGGGCTGCACTGGCTGGGGGCAGGCCAGGCAAGGAAACTGCAGCAAAGCTTCCTGTGGTTAAACATTGCCACCAAGTTAAAACAAGCGTCAGGAACTGCGAGAGCGTTTGGAAAGCTGTTCCTGTCACTTCTGCATCTTCCCAGGATGCAGTTCTGAAAGGAGCTCGGATAGAAAAGTAACTGGGGGGTGGCATCTTCTTAAGGAAGATGAGGGAATGACTCTTGTTATCACCCAGGGGCTGACTAGCACTGCCTTCCGAGTGTGACCACAACTGCTCGGCTGCATGTCATAGGTCCTACGCTGCCAACCCTGGTAGAAACTCTCCTCTAGCTCAGGAACTGGGGGCCCATGGCTTTCAATCAGGATATCCAGTGGTCTCGCCGCAGGGACCTGAGAGACAACTAGGAAATCGGGGGGCCAATTTCCAATTTAAGTCAGCATCTTATGCCGGCTCCAGGACAACTGTTAAGCCTCTCCATGCTCCAGCCTCCCTGGAGAGAGATGCATGCATGACCCTTCTCACACACAGAGGATACCGTATGGCATGAGCTGGTGCAAAAGGTTGGGCGAGTCCAAACAAGGGAAGAAGAGATACGTATTTCCACGGCTCCAATGCAAGCGGAGGAAATGACTGTTCATGCAGATCTGTGCCCAGCATTGGGACAGGACGCACCCCAGGCGAAAGAAACCCTCCTCCAGCTACAAAGCTGCTTCTTGTGGTGGGGGGAGAAAATGCTGAGGTCATGCAATAGGTTTGTTTGAATAGTACCTAGAAGGCTTTTCTGCCTCATGAGCTAGGTCACAGCAATACCTCGGGCACCCTGAGAGCTCTGGGCATGATACGAAGGCTCTCTGAAGGTAGGTGCTGTTTCCACGCCACTCCAAAAGGCTCTGCCTCCTTTCACAGCCAGATGTGGGTGTCCCACTTCCCCTCAGGATCAGGCTGGAAGCCTTCAGATTATACTTGGCAAGTTACTCGGATAATCCTACAGAAATCCAGTCCAAGGCAAAAGTATAATGCCCACCCCACCATCCCAGAGACATCTGGCAAGACTGTTTAAAAACCAGATGGGTGGGAAAAAGAGATCCTCTACTCCTACTAGTCCCCACTCCAAAAATCAGGGCTGAGCAGAGCTTGGCTGACAATCAAGTTGAGACCTTTTGGCAGAGGACACGTCCTGTGATAAGGCAAGGCTTTTCACATAGCATCTTTCACCACCTGGGACTTCACTTGGAATATGAAAAAGATGATCTCCATGACATGAACAGCAACATCTAGGTCCCAAGCAAGGGAGACCACCTCCACAAGGGCCCTGAGGGAAAGCTAGATCTTCTTAACTATATTAGGAGGGTTTTCCACCATAGTTCTCCAGGCACAGAGCAGTTCATGTTAATAGGGACTGGAGGCGGCTGTGCTATAGATGTTTCATGGCACATAGGAAATGATTTTGCAGTCTTAGAGTTGGTCTAAAGCCATGCTGGCTTTAAGCCAGCCAGCTCTGGCTCCTGCTAACAGCATGGCCACAGCAGGGCAGAGATGAACAGAGCCTGCTGTTGAGATGCTGCGTCGATGGTCAGGGGGTTTTGCTCACAGCAAGCTCCATGCTGCTGTGGCTACACAGCTAACAGCGGTTAAGCAAGCTCACTGAAAACAGCCCCACAAGAAGGACCACATGAACTGCAGTCATGGCAGGGTAGGCTGCCCACAGCCCATTGCCTAGAGGATGAGTTTCCCTACCATGGCATATTTCTCAGGAGTCCCAGTAAGGAGACCAGGGACTGAGCAGCTAAGACGATCCTTTCCTCTGGGAAAAAGTGCAGCCACCCCAGAGAGAGAATCACAGGGGAAGCCAGAGAATGTGGGTGCCCGTGTTGTGCTGCTCTTTGGAGAGCACAAGAAGAGCTCAGTCTCCAGGGCTGTCTCACAGACCCTGGAGCAGGGGCAGGCGGGCGAGCCTGAAATTGCCTCTTATCCCTAGCCAGGTCTGGACAGAGGCCCAGCACTGGGTGAGTTTGCAAAGCCACTGCTCCTGCAACAGCATCGCCTCTGCCCAAGGGCTGGTTTCACACAAACGAGAGAAGACTAAAAATAAAACCAAGAGGAAACTCCGCGTCTGCATCTGCATTCCAGCTAGCTTCCTGGAGAGCCTCCCCACCTGCCCTCCCAGCCCCTCACACTTGGATGCCAGCCCCGCCGGCCGCCTCTTGCCCCCACCCCCGGTTTTCTGCGGTCCGCTGTCGTGCTGGACATTGCAAACCGCTTCCCCAGCAGCAGTGAGTCACTGCCCACCCCTCCACCCTGGGGCTTCTGCAACTCTGGCTCCTTGTCTCACCCCTCCCCCTTCTTAAATTTAAACAAACTCAGAGCCTCTCCCTAGCCTCAAACCACTGCCGCACATCAAGAGCCCGGTGCCAGAGAGAATAAATTCTTCAGCACAGGATGCGCCTCCCCATCAGTCCCCGGGTGCTTATATAACCCAGCGGAGGGACAAAGGGATTGCTGGGAGAGCCCAATTAACACAAAACCACATGCATTAAAAAATGCCTCTACACATAAAACCAGACTGGAGTCAGGGCTGGCGGCTGGATGTGATCATGCCTCGCGCCGCAGGCTCTCTCCCATCGACCTGCCCTTCCAAAACCAGGAGAAAGAGCTCCCTTTGGGCAAGGGACCTGCCGGGGCTGCAGTGGCCAACGCAGGCCTGCAGGGGGCAGTGTTGCTCCGAGCTTCCCAGCTCGTCCCCCGCCTCGCCTGGGGAAGGCTCCTGTTCGCAGGATGTTTTTTCACCTCCAGCTCTCTCCATCCTTTCTCCTCCCTCCCCAGTGCCAAATGTCAGCCTCAGGAGGAATTAGCCATTGCAAAAAGCCCTGGGGAGGAAGAGACAGCCGGGACTGCAGAACCGAAATGTCAGGGGCTCTCAGGCAGGCCATTACCCAGCCCAGCCACTCCCTGGATCTCTTCCCCACTTGGGCAAAGTCGTTTTTCCCCCCCCCCGCCCCTCCCTTCCTTTTGCAGCCCAGGTGTGTAAAGCAAGCGGCGCGGACCCCCTTTGATTTCACCCCCTCCCATTTTTACTTGTTTCATTTTTGTATACCCTGCTAGAACAGCCACAGTCTTCCCCTGCCGACATCCACTCCCAGCCGCAGCCCTCTCCGCAGCTGCGACAGTCATCGGGTTTCGGGGGCTGGATTCGGATCAGGGCTGCAAGAAGGAACGGACCGTCGGGAGCCTCCCTGCGAAGCGGGCAGCCAAGGGAGCAAACATGCGCGAGGGGGGAAACCGCTCTGCTTTGGGGCGGGAGCCCCATTTCGAGAAGCGAGAAGTTTGGCGGAACTTCGCAGCTCATCCTCGAGGAGGATGCACGTGGGCATGCACCCCCCAACCCTCAGCCTCCTGCACTGCGTGGGGTTAATTGAAAGCAGGTGGGAGGCGGGGTGGTTGGGGGGGGGGGACCTCAGCCCCTTTGCCCTGGGCGCCGTGGAGCGAGGCCGGGGGACGCGCGGGGACCGAACACGCAGCGCCGCGGCGACAACAACAATGGACCCAGCGGCGAAGGAAATTCCTTCCGGGATGGACAAAGCGGGGAGGAACGTTCCATGGCTGGAACGCCGAGACAGCGCTCCGCCAATCCGCGCGCGGCAGCCGGCGGTTTCAAGATGCCCCTGCTCCCCCGCCCCTCCCGCTCCACACCAGAATTGCTGAGACGTTTCTCTGCACACGTCTGTGCAGCCCGGCGAGCGCGCTGCCGCAGCGCCCGGCCGCCCCCCGGCGCTCCTCGGCCCCCGACCTCAAACCCCGCCGGGCTTTTCCAGCAAACCAGTTTGGGGAGGGGGTGATTTGGTTGCAAAGCAGGAATTTCAGCAAGGGGGAAAAGAAAAAAAACAAAACACACAACCATACACACACACACGTTTGGCCCTTGCTGGCATCAGGGGTTATTATATAATAAGTTGCATTATTGATATTGTCAGGCTTGGCCCGGTCGCCAGGGCACAGATGACTTTGCTACCTCCAAGGACAGGAAGAGATTCACAACCGAGCCTCCTGCACATTTTCCTCCGTGCAAAGTCACAGACTCGTCATCATCGTCATCGTAGTAATATGGAAAAGGAGCCCCTCGGTGCCATGTGCATCCTGGGGGCGGGCAAGGGTGGTTCTGCCCGATGCTGGTTTTCCAGAGAAAGACAGGGTGAAATGAAGTTTCCAAGCCCTCCTTTGGTTTCAGCCCTGGGCATGGTTGGGGGAGTCAGCTTGGACTCAAGCATCCAGGGGTAATAAATAACCCACGCAGAGGGGGAGGGCGGGGGGGGGGTGGAAACAGAAAAGAAAAAGAAATCCAATGTATTCGAAACTTCCCCTCAACCAGGATGATGCCTTCTTTAGCTTTATGGGACTTAGCCTTTGTTAAACATAAGCCTCTAGGTCTGTGCATTAACAGACAGTAGATTTAGTGTGCAACTCACTATTTTTATAATAGGGACATCCCCGATTCTCCGGTTCATACATTAATAATGAGAATGTATTAATTATGCACATACAGTATCTGCAAGCAGATTGCTACTTTCTTGCTGGGTCTCTTGGTGCTTCATAAAAAAAAAAAAAAAAACACAACACAAAAAACCCTTCATACACTAAAGCTTATTCTCTTTCTGCAAGCAACCAGAACTTCAAGGGCCATATGTTTTCCAAGGGAAAGAAAGAGAAACATTTAGAAGAGCTTTAACTCGGTCCCCGGTCCAGAAACTGGTTGCAGCAGCAATGTCGGGAGAGTTCGATACTTCATCATTACGTTATCGTTTGGTGGCTTGTCTGAAAGGCACCAAATTTGTGAAGCCGTGTATGCAGCTGCTGTGGTAAACAGGAAGCCAGAGGAGCGGAGCACACAGCGTTGCGCTGGCTCTTTGGCCCCCCGTTGAAATAGCGAGGGCTTCAAACTTGCTCATAAAATTCAGTTTAGGAGCAGTTTCCCCCTTACGAGCAGGAATGTGGGGGGAAAGCAGGGTCAGAGCCTTAACCAAAAAGGTCTGGGCTCCCTTTCTCTAATGGGAACGTGAGCTAGGGTCCCTGTGCACATGGCAGACTGGAATTAATCATCTCCTTCCAAATCCTAGGAGATGCTCCAAGAAATGAAACTAGGTTTTCAGTCTAGTGTGGATTTAACACCCCAAAAACTACCCACATTCTCCTTACTTCACACTACCCCTTCCTGCTCTTTGGGAAAAAAAGCATGAGAAAGTGGCCCCAAAACCAAAACCAGGCTGTCAAATTGCAAAGCAGGATGGAGCAGGCTCCCACCGAACATGTCCAAACAGAGGGGTCAAAAAGCCAGCCCCAGAGCTGAAGGCTGCCAAGTTTGGGTGGCTCTGAAACGGCCATCCTGAAAACTCTGGTCAGAAATTGAAGCCGGGGCTCGGGTCTGGGCTCCTCTCTCTTTAAATTCTATTTCGAAAAAGAAGGACAAACAGTGCTTCTCAACAAAAGGAGGATTCAAAGGGGAAGCAGCATCCAAAACATGTTGCGTTTTGTGCTTTAATGTTCCAACTCATTCCCCAGACCAAAACCAAACTGTCCCTGGAGAGGGTAATTAACCATCACAATCCTCCAGCTCTCAGAATCATTACATCAAGACTGGGTGTTTCTGTAAAAGGCACACCAGTTTCAGCTTGAAAATACTGACCTTAGAACAGGAAATAGTGGGCAAAATACTCTAGGCGATGCTATGCAAGAGATTTGAAGAGATGATCAGAGAATAATAAATTCTCAGGTCAGAAAGGACTGCTATCTGCAAGGCAAGAAAGAGGGAGTTGTCTAATTGTTAATTTGAAGTAATAAGGTGCCTTAACAACACTTACAGAGCATTGTTGCCGAATTGTGTTAGCAGCCAGACTTACAAGCTGCATTCAGGTTTCCTTCCCGGTAACAGCTTGCTGGAACACTTCAAGGTGTCATTCTGAAGCCTATTTGTTCTTGACATTTTCTTAGTTTCTCTTCCTGGTGGTGGGAATCCCTCGTTAAAAGCAATCACCTCGGCTGAAATTATAAGACACCACCATCCAAATCTCTTAAGACGGGTTTGAGCATTTCAGCCCAGATCTTTAAAGACACTTATTTGGAGTCTTAAACATGACGTTAATACAACGCATTGGTCATTTACCACAGTGCAATGGAACGATATCAGCAGCCACTGCAAAGTAGAGGATTGCGGTAGATGGAGCATCTGAAAAGCACCTCCAATTGGCTCTACGGGTGTTACAAATAAGATATGGTCTGGCCCAGGTCTGAAGGTCTGCAAGCATCTAAACAGGCAAAATGAAGACATGCTATAGTTAAATGTAGGACAGCAGGAACACGCTAGGGATTGACAGCGAGATACAGAAACTTTAGGCCCTGGTGAAATCCAGTTGGGTTGGCAACAACTCCTAGCTACTGCTCACTCAAGTCTGGTCAATGGTCTGTAAGTAAGGAACTGGTGTCCGTATCACAGCCATCTCCAAATACAAAACCAAGCTCAGCGGAGAAGCCTAAAGTGACCAGTCATGGAACTGGACCCATCTTTAGTCAACAGCAGTTGCCCTGAGATAGGAGTTGAGGCTTCAATGTTTGAATAATGTGAATATTCCCTGCTGCTGCTTGTTCTGAGGATAAAGAAATGTAGTCACCTGGCCTGCTATTCCAGTACCTTGCAGAGGCACTAAATTCAAGACAGACAAAGAACATGCTTAACATGGATGAAAGATGCCAGGCATTTAGAAATCAGGTAGGTTTCAGCCTCTCCAGACACTGTCTGGAATGGTTCCTTGCAATGACTTCATTTAAATGCAATCCATGCAGAGTGTGTTCTCCACTGCCACTGATGTGAAGAAATCTCACAGAACCAAGAATATATTTTCTTCCTGGTAACTGGGCTGAGTAATTCCTATTAAAAGCAAAATAATAATAATAATGGAAATTTAAACATCGGATTAGAAATCCAAGACAAAAAAACACAACCCAGATGTGCTGTATACCTTCCCAAAGGTGAAAGCACCACTGAAAAGGTGAATGCAAATGACTTCTTAATTGCAGGGTGGTTAGATTTTTTTTGGGGGGGGGGAGGGGAAGTCTCAGTGGTATGCTCACAATTCCACTTAACAGCAGTGGGAGTTAAACGTAGACATCCAAAGCATTTAACTCTGTGTGCTAACCTGATACAATGCACTGGGCTTCTATTGTCAGCTTTCCCACCTGAGCCAACCCACATGAAGAGCTCTCTCCATGATCTCCCTCCGAAAGAGGACAGGGGAGAGATTAAACATAAAAAACATAAAACCCAATGACACTGTGGCTAGGGAAACCACTAGACAATCAACTGAGCAAGGGACATAGATAGGAATGCCATTGAGAAGTAGCATTTGTCCACTGGTCTCTCCAATACATAGCCACAGAGCAGAGCATAGTAAGATGGTAAAATGTAACAGCAATGGAGAAGGGATATTTGAGATGTCCCACGGGGCCCCTAAACTATGTCATTCAGGTACATCTTGGTTTGAGTGCTCTTCTGCCTATCTTTGTGAAGACCTAGCTCAGGGGCTGAAACTTTTAACCCTCTCCAAGCCAATAAGCTTAGTTGCTAACTTGAAACTTGTGTATCACAGTTCTTCAGAGGGCTGCTGATCCCACCAAAATGATTCTTGCCATTTATTTCCACGGAGAGAGATTAAATGGGTCCAGTTAGCCAACTGGGACCTCGTTTTCCTTCCTGCAAGCCCAATCTCATTTACCCTCATAGCGATGACTCGCACCAGAAGAGCAAAGCGAAGTTGGGTGTCAGAGTTTGCAATCAGACAAGGCGTCTCAGAGCGGCAGCGTCTATTAGGAATGGCCATTTTACTGATCAAGGAAATAACACGTACACAATTCTCATACAAAATTGAAAATGCATAAAAACTAATCTGTAATAGTCGCTGTACACCTAAAATGCAGTGATCAGGGCAGTAATATCTAAGCTTTCATGCCCTCTATGAAGTCAAAAAAAAAAATCCAGGAGAACAAAGATTCTCCATTGTAGAACTTGCAGTCCAGACAGCAGAAATTAACCAGCCGTTTCCGTAAAACACGATCATTTTACAAATGTACCGGGTGCCAGACCTAGGTGTTCTGGAGGAAGAAAGAGACTCTGAGCAGTGATTCAGTGGGTGCCTTACAGAAGTTGAAGCCCTACAAATTGATGTCCAGTTGATCCAAAAACAAGTCCGCTCTACTGCTTGGCACTGATGAGCAAGAGGTGCATGCCACCTGAAGGAACGCTGAGTTGAGAGATACACAGGACAAGTCTATATCAGCCCCTCCAGGAAGCTTCAACACAACCCAGGTCTAGATGATCAGAGCAGGCTAAGCTATGAGCTTAACCTGGCTAAGCTATGAGGCTCTCTCCCCACCTCTTCTGCCAGGGAAATCACTCTAATTGGTAAACTCAGTGGTGTAACTAGGATGGGGTGAGCAGGGCACCAGGTGCCAACTATGTGGGGGCACCAGAATCACTCCCCAAGGAGTCTTTACCATAAGTGGAGTGAACAAGGCAGTAGTAGCCAAGGAAGGTAAGCATTTTCTTCCCCTCGCTCATGTGCTCCCCAGACCCCCAGTCTACAGTGGTTGGCATACCCCATATCCCCTGGGTGCTCAAAGAACTTGCTACACCTCTGGGCAGACCAGAATCATAGGGAGATCTTTCCATCACATTGTCTTGCTGCATACTAAAGACAGAAATAACGCCTCATTGATGGCTGGAAAGCTCCTGTCCTCAGGTGCTATATGTAACATTAATCTCAACAATAATCTCAGGAGCGCTTACTCCCTCTTAGCAAAGATCATCACTGTCTCACAGTGATGGAGCAGTTGACAGATATACAGGTTTTAATATTAAAGACTTGGTAGGCCTATAAATTGACTAACCTTGACAGCTGCCCTGCATGCTAGAGGGTTTTCCCAGAAGCAGGTATGTTGTATGGAAGGTTTGCATAGCAGTGTATGCTCACACAGGCTAAAGAATTGTAATACATGCAGGTAGGTGTTTCACTCTTCAAGGGTTGGATACTTGCCGGATTCAGGTAAGAGTAATCTCAGGTTTGAAGCCTCCAGAACAAAGGGTCCTGTGCCTTTAAACTTACTAGGAGAACATGGCTGGTTAGGACAGGGCAACAAGAGTCAAAATATCTAAATTCTACTGTAGCCCAACATGTGAAGGGTTAAACAGCCTGGCTGTTGTCAGAGGGTCTTCAGTCTCATACCATTCTTACAGCTGTATTCATCCAGACAGGTAGTGGAAGTCTCTTATGGACAGCAAATCAGGCAGCATGGCAATTTTTCTGTTGTTTTTGTTGCCAGGATCCCCACAAAAAACTTGAGAGTCCAAACCTGTCTCTACTATAAACCTTAGATGAGCTGTCCAAGCCCCAATACGCGTGACGGTTTCCTTAGGGCACTGGTTCTCAACCTGTTTGCACTTGAGGTACCCCTCTCTGGATTCAAGGCAACCCTACATAACTTTTGTGAGTTGAGTGGCACGCAGTTTAAAAAACCCCCCCACAAAACTTACTGTAATTTATACATTGCAGTGCTTGCTTCTTTGCAGAGGAGCATGGCAGTGGAAATGGAGGATCATTTAGGCAGAGACCAGCCTGAGCCTGCACTTATCTCCTTAGTTTAGCTGCTTATCTCCTAACACCTGACTCATCTCTTTGCAGCACCCCAGGGTACCCCATCCCCCTGGTTGAGAATCACTGCCTTCAGAGAAGCAGGGACGTATGTTCTAACTTTACACCAGAAAAGACAAGTGACTCCTACGCTGAAAGACCCAGCTTAGCCACAAGCACTGGTGTGAAAGAACTACCCTCCGAACAGCTGTCCAGGGAAAGAACAATTGAGCGAGGGGTGGAAGAACAGTGCCTGGAGGTGACCCCCAGGTGATAACACACCCAAACTGACCAGCGTACCCTAGAGAGGACACGGCAGAGATTCAACCTGATCCATTTATACTGGTCCGTTGGGGTCCAGTGTTCTCAAAAAGGAATCCAAGCCCATTTCAGGGGTCAGTAACTTTCCACCAGTCTCCACACATCCATTTCTGGCCTTCAGGCACCAAAAGACAGCCTTATCTGGAAGTACTATTGCTATGGTTTGTGAAGTCTAGGAGGCTGCGTGAAGTCTCCATGAACCCATTGTCTCTTATCACGAAAACTGCAACTAGGAGATCCACTACTTAACTTATTAGTAATTGTGCACATAAAAAAAAAAAAAAAAAATTAATTCCCTCTTTTTTAGAAAACCATGGTCAAGAAAACTGCAGTACCCAATCTGCTGGTTTGACATATTCATAAACACAGCTCCCCAATCTCACTATTATAGGCACCTTAATTATTGAAGGATACATCTAGGCTGGCCTCAGTTATCTGGGGAATATAATAGTCAAGGTTGACTAATGACTCGAGTAGGTAGGTAGTGCTGCACCGCTGGAGAAGAACAAGGTGCTCCCTGAAGAAGCCCATTTGTAAGAGGTGCTGAGTGAGATTACTGATGGATGTCCACATCCACAGGTGCGGGGAGAAGAAACAGACAGCAGGGTACCCAACAAGGCGTGCGCTTCGTGCTAGGGATGAGAACGCTCCTCAAAAGAGACAATCATTCTGCTGGCCTGGGCAAGGAAGTGATAGATTGCCAAATGTTAATTCAAATTGGAACTGACAAAGCCCATGGGATATATTTAGAGTCACCAGTTACATCAGGTCATGTCATTTGGGCCCTGAGATTGGGCTATAGAAAGATTGGCAGGAACAGTTTGGGGAGGAGAGAGAAAACCTACCACTGACCTTGTGAAAGGACTATTTCAGCACTGTAGCTTATCCCCAATGGCAGCCCTGCACTGTCCCGGGTGTTCAACAAAGAATCTCTGCATGGAGCCCTCTTGAGACGTCCTGAGGCTGAGGAGATCTTGAATACCGTTCGACATGGCCAGAAATGGGTCACTGACCTGTCAGCTGGGCAATTATTTAAAGTTACCCTGAGCAGATAAGAAAGGAAAACCTAGAGACCTCATGGCTCCACCTCCCATGAAGCCAGAGTGGAGATAATGGCCTAGATGCAAACTTTTGCTAGCCAAATGTGGGCACAACCAAGCTTGCAGGGACCATTAGGAGAACAGAAGGACTTTTATATTGTTACCCCTTGTTCACGGCTGGAACAAGTGGATCAGGGTTGTAGTTCGCATCACTCCAGCTCTGGGGTTAGAACTGTTCCCCGTCTTCTGCTCCATCTCTCCTCCCCACCCAACCTCCTTCCTGGAAATCCAAGGGGATTTCAGTACTATAGTAGCCTAATTGCAAGGGTTAAAGTAGCATAGAGCCCAACCTGCCAGAACTAGGAAAACGTGGGCGACAACCTGCATCTAACACTGATGGCTGATGCGAAGATCTCATTTCTGCTGAGAATCCAAGATGACTTTCTGCACTCCAACGACTTCCCTTCATAATTTTACTGTAAACTGCAGGTCATAAAGCGCCTCAAGGGAAATGGTTAGACACCATTTGTATGGTGGATCTTATGTCCACATACAGGCAGAGCTAACCTCCTTTCTGCAGGTCTTTTTAAATTAAACCTTGTTCCCACCCCTACTTCCCCCACACATTCGCACACACACTCTGGCTTCCCTGCATCTCACATGCAAAGAGGACCACAGCAACAAAAGCAGGAGCTGTTAATTGACTACCCTTGTGGACACAGCAAGATCTACTTTGTGTTCTCCCCATCCAGCATCATTCCTACACCCAATAGTTTTACTATTTTCCTCAGTAGTAAAATTCCAACTCCAGTAAGATTGAAACCTTCTGGGATCACCGCATGGCCAAGGGGGTGTTTGCTCAAAGCCACATGAGCATTAATAGGCAGATTAATGCCCCAGATGAGCACCCAAAACCATGGACGATGGACCAAACTTTTGGTGAACGTTTGGGCCTGCAAAATTAAATGGCTTAAAAGACCAGGTTCTCATGCAATTTAAGCATTTGCAGTACTGATGGCTTGGCTGATTGAACAACAGCCAATCCATCAACCAACCAACTCCGTTACCCATCAATGGTCTGCAATACCTTGAAATCTACAGAAAAATCTACCATAATCCCATTCCCTGGGTAGAAAGAGTGCATTCAGTCATCGTGATGATGATAGTTTGGGACAAACATCAAATATTTTGGATCTGTTTATATGCCACACTCGAAGAGTCCAATGTCACCAGGGGACTCCTTGGAAAACAAGCTGCCTACAGGCCAGCTGGAATATGCCTCTGGTCACTCATGGAAAGCAGTGTTCACTCCCATTGCACAGTTCACCGATTGTGCATTGTACCTTTTTCTTCCACCCTCCAACTCCCTTGTCTAGTTTGATTATAAGCGCCAGGGAGCGTCTACGACTGCAGAGTGCCTACAGCCATGGGGCCCTATTCTTAGCTGGTCCTTCAGCATTACTGGAATAAATATTGGTAAATCACACAAAGCTGCCAGAATCCTGCCACCACTGCCACCGCCCCTGTCACTTCCTCTCCAGTGAAGTATTTTTACAAGCTCTTTCATATCCAACCCCAAGAGACGAGAGTCCTAGAGTAGGAGTGCATTCCTCTGAGCTGTGACCATGAAAGAGCGCACTGCCCCCATAGCAGCTCTGCTGACCATTCACACACCATTGATCAAGGGGAGGCAGGCACAAACTACTGCATTCAGATCCCAAACCCAGATGTGAAGTGCCACAAAAAGTTGGAGATTACATGGATCTCTATCCCCTACCAGGGCCAGACTTAGAAATGATTTTGGGCCAGTGTTGAGGAGAGATGTGAGCTTATTTTAGAAGTATAAATTAACTTTCCACCTTTCTGCTGTCACTGCAGTTAGCTCAGACAAGGAATATGGACCAGTCATTTCACTTCCTGCAGGCATTTGGGGTTCAGGAAAAGGTGGGGGGGAAAATGTATGAATCCAAACCCAAAGTGGTTCTTACACCAAATGTTCAGGAGGTAACAAGTATAACGACATTCCTGATCAGAGGTGGACTGGCTTGTGATTGTGGGGGGGAAGGAAGGGACAGGCAAATCCCAGACAAAGGGGCCTGGACTTATGACCCTTTACATCAAAGGTTAGTGACAAAAGCAGGCTTAAAAAAAAAAAGCAAACAACAACCAGGTGCATGTTAAAGTCCTTTCCAATTTTTTGGAACAAGAAAAGGGTTAACAGGTAGCATTAGCCATGGGTCTGTAAGCAGCCTTCAGAGATGCTTGCCCAATCAGACAGTGTGAAGAAGGTAGCACGGCTGCCCAAATATGAAAGCAGGGTGCTCCACTTCCAACTCTGGCAAACTTTGGTTACCTGGGGCAAGTCACTTGACCATGCCTTTGGTTTAGGCAGAGAAAAGCTTGCAGCAACACAGGGGTGAGGCAAATGTCAGCATTTGCCAAGCACTTCTCAGATCCTTGGGTGGAGCAGGCTGCACGTCTGACCTATAGTTTGCATTTCAGAAATACCAAGGTACACAAAGCAGAGATTGGTTTTTGCCTAAAATCATCAGGTTGCACTTCACAGTTACAGGACTAGCAGCACTGCTTCCCTTCCCCTTTTCCGATTTGAGTGAACCCCTCAGGGTCGGGTCTGGTCTCCACCGGTTCTGGGAGGACTTCCATAGTTGTGTCACCTTAAACCTTCTGGCACCAAGTATATTGACCCAATAGAGTCACAGTTTGGGAATGATGAATGACTTTTCCAAGTCTATGACCAGAGATTTTCTAGCTCATGTTCAGACATCTTTTGTAAGAAAGTAGTATTTTTTATTTACCCCAGTGGAAACAAATCCTGAGAGAGGAATTCAGAACAGCCTACCTGCGTGTATGTTACTGATATTACCTTTCTTCACATGTCTCACTTCTTGTGACTTGCATATCCCACTATGCAGTCAGCTTTTTGTTACAATATTATATTAATGACTCACTATAATCCACTGTAACCCTCAGACTCCCTGCTGTACTGCAGCCCAGCCAATCATTTCCCATTTTGCATTTCATTTCTCCTTCCTAGATGTCCTGTCTCACATAAGCAGCCAGTTATGGTATCAACTCTCCTGATGTTATCACAATTCAAGATACACTGCATTTTGTTTAAAGCCCCCAGTGCCAATTTTTTTTTCCCCACATCATAATTCACATTACATATTAGGAATAACTATCGAACTGTGAAGGTAATTACATTTCAGAAGAGATTCCAGATTCCCTAGCGCGGTTGTGGAATAGCCATCATTGCAAATATAAGTCCAGGTTGGACAAACAGTTGTGTGGGATGGTTTGGTCCAGCATGATCCTGCCTTGTGCAGGCGGTTGGATTAAGTGACCTCTTGAGATCCTTCCAGCGCTTTTTCCTGTGGATTAAGAAAAAAAAAAAAAAAAGGGGAGATTCTGGCTATGTTGGTGGGAATTACTCAAACACCAGGAGACAGACAACAGTCATCGGTTTGAACCAGACTCGTGCTTTTTGAAGGCTTGGGACTAGTAATACTGCAAAAGCCATCATAGCTTAGTATGGTACCTCCAGCAAACAGCTGGGCATCATTGTAATGGTGATGGATCATCCTTAGGAGGGAGGGTGCGAAAAAAAGTTTAGCATAATATAATCCAAACCAGGGGTCATCCCTTTGCTTTTATTCCCAAGTAACCTTTGTCCGCAGGAACAGCCAATGCATTTAGTCTTGTTCTAGTGCAGGTCTCGGGGGCAAGGCGAGTTGTTTGTTTTTAAATCTGTTCATCCAGTGGAGGAATTTGCTCTCTGTACAGCAGTGCGCTTCTGCTCACATACCCAGATGCAGAAAGGGTGGGAGAACTTATTCCTAAAATGCAAAGTTATTACCCTTTTCTGGTTAGAAGTACAGGACACAGGAACATGTCATAGGACAAAAACTAGTCAGGTCAGTGATTTGCCAGGTTTGGTCAGCGTGAAGCACAGAAAGATCCCCACTCCCATCGACAAAGGGGGGCTTGCGGGGCAAAGACAGGTCTCGCCGCACTGTATGACCTCATAGATTTTGCAGAAGAGTTGCACGAGCAAAAGAGGGGGTAGAACCTGGGCACCTCCAACAACTGCTATTTCAGCCTCAACTGCAGAGTCCAGCCCAAATGACACCTGGCTCGCTCTCCCATAGCTTGATGAAGCGCGCAGTGCGAAAAGGAGCAAAAGCACTATTTGTCATTGCTGCGAGCAGATGCTGTTTCACACAGGAAGCAACCAGAGTCATCTTTATACAGTCAGAACGCAACTGCATCTTCTCTTGGTTTTCCTGGTAAGCTTTTGATCTTCCTGCATATCTGCCCTGGGAATTTTCAAACCTCTCCCCCACAGATGCAGCTCTACCAGGGCACTGTGGCGAAGACGCTAACACAGATAGGGCCCAGTGGTATGAGAGCTCTCCACCCCCTCCACCCTTATTCAGAGCAAGATTGATGGAAGGGAAAGCCTCAGGCAGCCAATTTCTTCAGGGCTGACCCGCAGAAGTGACTCAGAGATGACTGGGCAAATGCTTTGCCCTTTAAAAGGGGCATCTTGTTTCTAGGAAGAGCAATGCAAACTCACAGGGAAAATGTTCAAAATTTCCCTCCACAACCATAGGCAGAGGGCCCCCAAAGACACGTGGCTTCCCCTTCCTCAGAATCTGACTTACCAGAACGGGAGCCAAGAGAGAGGGACCGAGAGCAGGATTTTTGGGGAAGAAGGGGATGACGTGACATTTTCCTCCTTCCTGGAACTATACAGGGGACACACTCAGGGATGCAGCACAAAAGGAGAGATGCCTCAGCCTAGTCCTGCCTTGTGGCAGAGAACAGCCAAGCCTGACCCAAGGAGCCCCTGGAGATGCTCTTAGGGATGCAGTCCAGGACAGCACAGGCAGGAATGAATGGGGGACTCCGCTCATTCAGCTGCCGACCTGGCGAAGGGCAGGACGGGTGTAGGGCAACTCTCTTTAAAGGAAGCATCGTGTTTAAGAGCACGCTGGTTGCGATTAAAGTACCACCAAACCCTCTAGGACAGGGACACTCGTGCTAAGAAAGAACAACATTTGTGGTAACAGGTTTCCTTTTCCCTTGGCTAGGCAAAGCCACAGCCCTGCCTTCCATTGCCTGCCACCCCAGGGTTGCCCCTCCCCTCTCGTTCCTGCATAGGCTCGCTCATTTTCACCAAAGTCCTTTGGATAGCAAAGATCCTCAGAGCCCGCAGTGGAGCGAAAGAATGTCCTCGTGGTCCAGAAGAGACCCGCAGTCTCAAGCAGTTGCAAAACGGCCTTACGGAGCTCACAAGAATGTTTTGAAGAAGCTCCCAGACAGATCAAGTGCCTTACAGGAACTCACTCCCCGGGAGCCTGGAAAACTAGCCAAGCCGTTCCATGGTTATATTGCCACAGGCTTGTGTCCCGCTGTTACAAGAAGCAGTGTGCAACGTGCTATAGATTAATTCTGTGAGGAGTACCAGGCGGAGAGAAGTACCATGCAGTAGCAGGTAGTCTTCCCCGGTCTAATGCAAGCTGCAATATGCTGTCCTTCCCCTCCCCTTACAAATCGCTACCTGCAGAGGGGAATCCTGTTGTTCAGATCCACAGAGCCCTCTTTCAGGAAACTTAAGTGAGGCGTAGAAGGTAGATACCGAGACTCCACAGCCAAGATCCCAGGCCAGACCTGCAGCTTGACTTACATCTGCTACCACAAGTTTCGGTTCCCTAAGAGTCAGATGCAGGTCTTGGGAAGCAGCAAGGGCCAGTGGGTAGAGCCCCCGACAGCCCTGAACCTAGTACTTACTTGTGGTGGGACCAGGTTCACCTCCCTTCCACAACTACCATCTTCCACTCTTTGTCTTTTTGTCTTTTTTTATGAAGACTGTCAGCTCTTTGGGGCAGGGACTCGACTTGGTACAATGAGACCCTGATTTCAGTTGGGACCTCAAGATGTAGACATAACGCGAAGAGTAGGGTCAGTGCCGGGTACCACGGGCTCCATACAAGGCATCCCCCTCGCCCGCCACATTCAGTTTGGTGTCTGCTCAATAAGGAAGCATCCATGACTAAAACTCACTTTCCTTAGAAGCTATTTAAAAGATGCCATTCAAATAGTTCTCCCAGCCTCCTGTTCAAGCCAGTTCATTCAGCTTCCAGGTAATTGGGGATGGCTTGGGCAACGGCTTCTCTGCCAGCGCCAGCAAGATGGTTATCAGACATCAGACAGAGACACACCAAGTTTCACTGATATGATAATCAGGAGACTCCCGAGTGCAATGACTCACATATGACCTCAGGCAAATCCAACCCAATTCTCTCCCGCTCACACAGCAAGAAGCCTCCTTGTAGCAGCTCAGCCTCTTTTGCCATTCCACCTAAAATACAAGCCCTCGGCCAGACACCTCCCCCACCGCTCTGCCAGGAAGAAATGCTCTCCAGCACATCCTGTTCCAGCTGCTCCGAGCACTGGACCCTCCAAAAACCACAACTCCCAGAGCAAGGCCAGCCAACATCCATCTCCTGACATCAGCAGCGCTGTCCTTTTGGAACCACTCCCAGGCAGGCTGGTGGGAGAGTCCAAGAGGAACGATGTCCCAGCGGAAGAGGCACAGGAGCTGCTTTCTGGCTCGGGGCCCAGAGTCGGTGCTTTATACAGAGGGAGCGTGGTCTCCAGGAAGGCAGGGAACTTGGGAGTTGCTGCAGTCTAACTCCCAGCTTTGCCACTAAGGAAGGGTGCTCTCCCAGAGAATGCGAGTTCGCAGACCAAACCCAGCTGTAACACAGGATGCCGATGCCACCTTTGACAACTCGTATCATCTTCCTGCCTGCACCTCTGCTCCCCAGCTGAGAGGTAAGGATACTTCCTTCCCCATCTGACAGGAGAAAACCAGTTCTGCAATGAAGAACAGCCCCTGGCACAACACAGCCCTTGGGCTATTGGTACAGGCTGCTTTCTGCCTGGCCTGCGCTGATGCTCTGATGTACTCAGACCAGTCTGGTTCCCTCTACTCCACACAGCCATCCACAACTGCTGGTAGATCTTTTCTTCTTGGGTATCCTGCTCTAATTTTCACTGCTGGATAATCTGCAGAGAAAGGGTTACTGGATTTTTAAATATAGGGCATGATTGAAATCTAGACAAGAGTACCACCAAGAGATCCCTACCAAGGCCCCAGGCATCCCTGTAATAAGCCCTGTACACGCATAGCAAGACAGTCCCTGCACGTGAGCACGCATGGCAAGCTGCTTCCTTATAGGACAAGTACAAAGCTGAAGCCAACCTTGACTAGTGGCCATCTGAGATCTGTGCCACTTCTAAAGCTGAAGGACTCAGAGGATCAGCCCCAGCATCCTCCTGGCCACGTTTTAAATCCAGATTACACTTCATCTCCCTTCCTTTCCATCCCACCAGTGGGAGCAGCAGTTTTTGAATTGCTTGTATGCAGTTTGGGAAGCAATCTGGCATCTTTCCCAGCCAGAGAAGCTGTAGCAACTCAAGGCATTATCGCACCTCATTTGCCCTCACAGGCAAGCGCAAAGCTCGTACCTTTGCTTTGTTAGATTAATATTTCATCATTGGGCAGTGCAATGGGGAACCTGGCTCCCAGCTTCACGCTCACTCCTCCGCCTCTCCTCCCTCCCCGCTGCAGCGAGGGAGGCGTTTGGAATCAAAGGGATTCATATGGTCTTACTCAGCTGAAGAGGTGTTTGCAAACTGTTTATGAACACAGGCAGGGCCCTACTTCAGAGGCCTGGAAGATACTTTCCCAGCCAGCAACTTGTCCAAGCACGTTCCACACAAGACAGAGACCAACACGGCTCCCTCACCAGCAAAGACAAGTCACAGAGCCAAGGCAAGCAAAGCAGCCAGTTTTGGGGGTTGTTTTGATAACATATTTTGTGTTCCAGTTCAAATTAGCCAAATCATATCGATTGAGCAGAACTCAGTCGTTCCAAAAACCATGTGGATTAAGCAGGTAGAACTCAGTCGTCCTAAACACCATGTATGGTGCTACAATCGGCGAGCATCCTCCATCCCAGCCTCTCCCCCTGGCGCTTCAGATACACCCAAATCCACTGGCAGACGTCCTATATGCAGGTCTTGGGGTTCAGAAGCCCCTAGAAACTACAGGCAAGCATCCTCCATCCCAGACTCTCAAGCCTGGGACTTCAGATGCTTCCTCCGCTCGATCTTAGCCCACAAGAGCCTGTGGCTTTCTGGTGAGCCGAGCAGGAACAGACTGTGAACTTCCCCAAAAGCATGACCCAAACCAAACCTCTTCTGCTTCAGGTGGAAAAAATGTTGCATTTCCCCAGGTGTCAGCCTTTCTGGGGTCCAGGCAGATGAGCTAGTGACTAACTGTCTAGAGGCAGGCTGGGCC